ATATGTCCCTGGTTGTATTTATGTCACTGGTTGTATTTATATGTCCCTGGTTGTATTTATACGTCCCTGGTTGTATTTATATGTCTCTGGTTGTATTTATATGTCCCTGGTTGTATTTCTAAGTCTCTGGTTGTATTTATATGTCCCTGGTTGTATTCATGTCCCTGGTTGTATTTATGTCACTGGTTGTATTTATATGTCCCTGGTTGTATTTATGTCCCTAGTTGTATTTATATGTCCCTGGTTGTATTTATACGTCTCTGGTTGTATTTATATGTCCCTGGTTGTATTCATGTCCCTGGTTGTATTCATGTCACTGGTTGCATTTATATGTCCCTGGTTGTATGTATGTCCCTGGTTGTATTTATATGTCCCTGATTGTATTTATACGTCCAAGGTTGTATTTATATGTCCCTGGTTGTATTTATATGTTCCTAGTTGTATTTATACGTCCAAGGTTGTATTTATATGTCCCTGATTGTATTTATACGTCCAAGGTTGTATTTATATGTCCCTGGTTGTATTTATATGTCCCTGGTTGTATTTATATGTCCCTAGTTGTATTTATATGTCCAAGGTTGTATTTATATGTCCCTAGTTGTATTTATACGTCCAAGGTTGTATTTATATGTCCCTGGTTGTATTTATATGTCCCTTGTTTTATTTATATGTCCTGGTTGTATTTATATGTCCATGGTTGTATTTATACGTCCCTGGTTGTATTTATATGTCCCTGTTTGTATTTATGTCCCTGGTTGTATTGATATGTCCCTGGTTGTATTTATACGTCCCTGGTTGTATTTATGTCCGTGGTTGTATTTATGTGTCCTGAGCTGTATTAATATGTACAACAATATTAACCAATGTACAAGAACAATAATTATTTCAAACCCTTTAGATTAATTATCATATCGTCAGGTACATACTAAAACATATATCATATTCAGTTTAATGTCAACAGAGACGTCTGCAGTAACAAATTAATCTGGGGAAATTCGATTCTCTTGATTGTTCTCTTGGGAACGGTTCAATGAACTTGGGCTGCTTATAGTGTTTAAAATATATAACCAGCCTTTAGGAAAAGCTTTATTGATGTCAAAAATTATTTCATTGAGATGTTTTCCTTTGTTTGGTTTTTTTTTGTAAATGTTTTTCATTCGTATTTTTTAAAATCATTAATTGTCAAATAAGCTGAAAGGACATACATGTACATATATCTATATTAACCGCAATTCTTCGAGTTAAACCGGGATTATATAAAGAAAAATTCATTTGTAATCAGGTCGACCGAGAGATCATTTAAACCTACAAAGGCAACGTCTCACACACAGATATATAATCACGACTCTCCGTTATATTTTAGAATTAGGTTTTATCCACTATCCACAATCCACATATACATACCATACACTTGAAGGTATGGCGTTTAATTCCAATATTAGTTTGTTGAAATACAAGTCCATTGAGCTATTATTGACATTAAGGATAGAAGTGGGAAATTGGTGGGTCATACGGTGATTATTACGGATAAAAATATCCCCAAGTGAGACGAAATCTTCGTGTGACCAACTTTAACAACAGGAAGAAGCTATTCGACAAAGGTTATACATCCGTTACTCAACTTAACGGGGAAATATGACACGGACGAACCTGTATATATAAGAAAGTATCAAACTCATTTACAGACAGAGGAACTAAAACTTAACGGGGAAATATGACACGGACGAACCTGTATATATAAGAAAGTATCAAACTCATTTACAGACAGAGGAACTAAAACTTAACGGGGAAATATGACACGGACGAACCTGTATATATAAGAAAGTATCAAACTCATTTACAGACAGAGGAACTAAAACCTAAATAAACATTCTAGGAAGTGTGGATATATTTCCTCCTAAATCTAACGATATTCAAATGAGCTTTGGAAAATTCTCTAACATTAAATATTTTTTTCTTATTTCAATTTCAACCAATATTTATTGACAAAAATAGAGCTGTTCACCAGGTATAGCATATCTTTGTCTATTCTGATAATGATTACTGGCAGTAAGAAATACAGACTATATACAGGCGAAATATTGAGATAAGGGGAGGTAACTCTTTGATGATTCACAAAGACAACAACCCTTTCTTAATATTTGGTGATATTAGACTCATTTCCCCAGTAAACACATCCAGCACTATAGTCATACACTGTTAAGGATCAAAAGCCATTTTTAGCAAAAAGATGTACATAATTTTTTAATAAGATTACTTCAACTCCTATCGGTAATATGTTAAAATATAAAAACCAATGTCATTTTTAATTAGTTTCATATTACCTTCGAACCTCTTAAAACTTCGAGATAACCGTATATTCTATTTAAGTGAGTTGGAACGGTTTGTGTAAAGTTAGTCAGGGATCGAGAAATGCTTCGAATTAAACAGGATCTTCGAAATAATCAAGTTCGAGATAACGAGGTACCGCCGTGATGACGTGTATATTGGAGACAATTATGTCGTGACACGGTACATGTTCTAACTCATTAACGGACGCGTTACATTCACTACCACAACTCTCGCTTTGTTGTCGTGACATTACGTCTATTTTCACCTGGATACAGATCACGCGTAGTTGATGAAGACACTGGACCAGTCAAAATCTATCATCTCTTTTTCTTTATCATAGCTGTGTTAATCTCACTCTTGTTTATTCTAATAACGACTCGGAAATGGCTCTCTTGGATGTTTTAATTAAAAATATCGGTTTATTTTACTGAGCCATGACAACTTTTACAAATATATTGTATCAGTCATGTTGTTAATGTATTCTTTCAATTAATACTCTATCAACGTTATCACAAAATATAGAAAAAAATCAATAAGCCAAGCGTAAGGCGAACCGTAATTAAGTTATTACTATACAAATTAACTGACCCGAACACACAGGAAAAAAGGGTCAATAACAACGCTTAATTGTCTTATCCTTTTCTATTATACCTGTGATAAATCAGACGCTAACGTTAGCCAAACATTTTATAATCAGATGTCCAATACGGTTTCTGAATGGTTGAATAGACGATAAAAAAAATCCCAGGGTATAAGTACTGGTCAAATAATGGAACATTTCTCTTAAAACAGAATACATTGTGTCTGCTATACACGTCTAACTTTACCAAACATGAACAACGATGATAAAAAATCAATGAATCTTTATTATGGACACTGAATGAAAAATTTTTTTAAAAAGAAGTTGATAACATTGTTTATTGTTCACAAATTAAATCCATAATCAGCTGATTTGGACACAACTATATAGACGCTTGTTTATAAAAGCTGTGTGTTCTTGGTAGAGCGTTTAATCCATTAGTATATTGCTATCTGTACTTGACGCCACGTGCAGGATTTCCTACAACATAAAGCTTTGAACCACCTGTAATTAATCATAATTATACCCATTGTTTTGTTGATTGCCGAGTAGGAGTACCTGTGAAGCTAACTCTTATCAAGTACCCGATTAGGTGTCACCCAGATCCATCCAGTTTTACAAAAGAAATAATGTGTTCTAATGTTATTTGTTTGTCAAATGTTTGCGACGCAATAATGATAAACCTTGTGTTAACATACCATAGTGTATAACCTCTCTCTCTCTCTCTCTCTCTCTCTCCTTCTCTCTCTCTCTCTCTCTCTCTCTCTCTCTCTCTCTCTCTCTCTGTGTTGGTGTGTGTGTTGTTGTGGTGGTGGTGGTGGTGTGTGTGTGTGTGGTTGTGTGTGTGTTGGTGTGTGAGGGTGTGTTTGTGTGTGTGTGGTGGTGGTTTGTGTGTATGTGTGGTGGTGGTGGTGGTTTGTGTGTATGTGTGATTGTGTGTGTGCGTGCGCGTGCGCGTGTGCGTGTGTGTGTGTGTGTGTGTGTGTGTCTTTCTTTTTTATCTTCGTTATTATCCAAGGTCAATCCAAATAATGACTTCTACTACTTTAATCTTGGTACATGTGTACTAACCCTGAAAGCGTTAGACAAACCAAATCAACATGTTAACAGAATCTAAAAATTGATCAAACGAAGAAAGAAATAAACCAGGTGTTCCGGAAGAGTAAGCGTATTCTGCTTCATTGTCGACACCAGATTTCTACAGAAACCAAACTGCCCACATGTTATAACTGATAGATTATTAGATTTAAATTTACAAAGTAAACAAACAATGTAATTATTATCATCAACTTCAGTTTATTCTAAATTTTCACAAAAAAAAAAACTAAAACAGAAACAATATTCAGTGTAAACAAAAAACACGTGTATAAACATATATCGTGTATTTATAAGTTTCCTAAAAGTTAGGCATAAATACATGTACGCAAAAGCAGACTCACATCTAATTTTGAACACCCCTAAATCAAGAAAAAAACGATAGACGGATTTATCGAAAGCAAATCAACAAAATCCGGACTCAGACTGATTACCGGTAAAAACGTTGAAGAGCAAAACATTAAGAAATAAATTATTTCAAATCAAGAAAAAACGAACAAAAAAAAATCGACGACAAAATCTCAAATGGAATGACAACAAATTTAAGATTCTGTTTATTACATAACTCAAAAAAGTAACATTGAAACGATTTCAATTAAAGTCGACATGTAAAGGCCATACTCAACCGAAGTCAGCCATTTTCAATTCATTATTTTACATCGTTTTCCATGTCATGACGTCACATTCAAAATCTGAATAGCGCAGCCAATAGAAAACGCTCTAGGTTACATTAAACTTGTGACATTCATTATGCGTACAAAACACAATACATAGGTATAGCGATAACGTCTTTGAACCGTCAAGGCGATTCAGTTGTATATAATCATCAATGATTGACTGATTGTAAATGATACACGTATGTCGTAGCGTGCAAACTGAAAAAAAAATGTTCCAGGTTACAACTATCATCGACCGAAAAGGTATCCACATTCTAAAAATAGAATTTCCGATATCGTGCTGGAACGATAAAAAATAATTTAAGTTTTTAAAGCAATCAACCATAGTATCGCGCAAGAAACCAGATTGCGGCAATCAGTATCATTATAAACGAGATTAAAAACAATGATACGTCGATTAAAGTCATGACGTCACTTTTGGACACGAGTGAATCCTCGTTTGTGTTGCTCGCACCTTCCTTCTGGTCATTGTCATTCATATCTTGAGCATTCCCGGACTTGTTGTAAGTAACTTTGTTCTTTTTTCGCTTGAAACAGCGCGTCAACCGTCTTAACCACAGAGGAAATTTCGTGACATCGGAAACGGCTTCACATCTAAGTGTAAATATTGTCAGTAAAATGAGCAAACTGCTGTATATCAATGCTATTAGCAAGAAATAGGACATCCCAGCCATGTTTTCTGACACCTTAGGCAGGTTGTCTCCTATCAGTGTCATGTAGACAGCCAGGGAGAGAAACATAGTGATGGTGTAGGATATTCTCTCCCCTGAAGAAGCCGGCAGGAGAAACACGAACGGGTTAAGGAAGCATAACAACAGCACGGGGATTGTCATTGATATGATGAAGTACATTGATCTTCGGGTCATGTGAAGTGTAAAGGCAACGGTTTGGGACGGTGACCCAAACCCCATGTACTGATAGACAGAAGTCTGATCAATTTCCCATTCACCATTGACGGAATAATATGCTAAAACAATTTCTTTCGATGTGTAGATTAGTTTTACCTCGTTCGGGAATACACCCCATAATAACATTAACATCTCACAGATTTGTGAGTCGACAGGGAACCGTGTCATATCGACAGAGCAACTAGACTTCAAAAGTTTTCCGGGGAAGACCGAACACGTTCCGTTGTAGTTCACACGAACATCAAACTCCTCTGCTCCAAATTGTTCCAAATCGTCAGCAGACGTGATCATGTATAGTTTGGGCTTCCAGACTCGAGATGAATTAATGAGAATCTCTTCCATACCGTTGTAGTCAGACGGCGTCCATTTCAAACGATAGTCTGTCCACGTGATTCCCATTCCAGCGCTCATTGTGATAACACCTGCCACTTCATCGAAGTCCAATATGGAGAGTAGAAACATCCACGCGTCAACTGTTACAGTTTCGCTGAAGTTGTACGCCGGACGGACTTCACTTGTGTAATTTGAGAAGAGAGAATCGGTAAGTCTGATCCAGTCGTCAATCGTGCCATGGCTGCCCAAAACTGGCTCCACGGCACTGTACACCAACAAAAACACTAACACGAAGTCCCGCATCGTTCCAAGAAGAGGAGATGTTTATCTACAAAGACGGAAAATCAAATAATAAATATTTCTAGAAAACGAATAGATATACAGTAAAACTTCGGTATTTCGAACTTCAAGGGACCAAGTCAAAAAGTTCGATATAGCGGGACTTCGATATGTGAATATTGATTTAAATTTCATTGAATGAAAATTTTACTCGGATGTATATGTGCACTACTCATTACATATACATGTATAAAACCCATGTCCTTTGCCGATTTTTGAGATATATGTATATACTGTAGATACCTACATCAACACGTGAAAATCTAAATTATCTACACAATTTCTTAATCGGCTAAGTCTATTTGTCACTACTTGCTAACTGTTTGTCAACGGAAGGATCATGAACAAAACAAAACAAAAAAACTTCTATAAGTTTTCAAACTATCCATTCTGTTGTCGTTTTGGCTTTCACGATAGGCTGTTGTCATGGAGAACATATATACCTTTATTTGCACTGTTGTAACCTAACGTATATGTAATTAGATTTACGAATGTTTCTTTCCGTCAATACGACCTACAAGAACAGATGATAGCATTTTAAATCAAGAGTTGTCGCCCTTAGTTGAGGAGGTACACACTCGGGAAGATAGAGACCAGTACATATGGACTTGATGGCGTGTTGTTATTTCCAGAACGCGCGAAGGAATTCACAGCGCTCTGATTCAAAGGTAGGAATTGCGTAATGTTGATACGAGCCGAGCATACAAGTTTATCTAATATCATTAGGATTGGAAAACTTTAATCGATACTCTGAAATCATTCAATGAACAGAAAAATTCGATTAAAACTTAAAATTCACTCGGAAGAGCAATCGGAAGCAGATATTGAGCAATCAGTCAGGTGCCATATTGACACTCTATATAACCATTGACACGGACTAACGAAACGTGACGTCAGGTAACAGATACAATACACAAAGGTGATATTTGCTATAGTTGCTTTGCACAATCATTGTCAACACAAAAGTGCGCGGATTGTGTTCCATTAGGTTTCGCGCGTGTATTGTTCTGAATGTGCTTGGGTGGGGTGGGTAGGGGGTGGGCGGTTGGGGGTCACGATAGAGAGTTAGCATCAGGTCACCACTCCTTACATCTGTCGGTTTGTGTTTCTCCATTCAGAGACACTAATAATTTTTTTCTTACTTTCATTTTCAATATTTCTTACCTTGAGCCTTGCAGCTCAGTAGTTCAGAATGACAAATACTTGTATGAACAACAATGAAACACAGATGTTCTCATTTAACACACACAATCAATTAGCATAGTGTGGAGGGAATTCAACATGTTACCCACGGGGCTTTCCCGACGCCTTAAAAAAAGGTCCTTGCTGTTTACGTTACAATAAAAGCGACTTTAAACGTCCAGCATTCAAGCCTTGCTTTACACCAGCCTGGCATTTGGAAATGAGTTTTGGTAAGGTGTAGCTATATGATGTGTTAATGTACCCCAGTTATATTCAGATGAGTGATTAAAACTTCCGCTATCGTAGCCCGCTTTATATCTATAAGCCCCATCTTTTGTTACAATGAGTTTATACACGTAGCTTATACCAAAACGTATAGATCACTCGAGTAGCCCCGAAGGACCCTCGTGAGGCTCCTAATGTGGGAGGCATCCGTAGTAGCCGATAAACCGTAGTCAAACAGATCCTGCTCATCCGATCCAGGAATCGAACTCAGGTCGCATGGTTTGCCACGGCGCCAACTGTGATCATTGTAAAATAAATTGGGTAACTCATTTCTGGGAAACAAGTTTATATTAATCACCCTTTTTGAATCGGACAAAAAAGCGCGTGAGAAATCTTACTTTGGGAGGAAACCGGAGAACGCGGTGGAAACCCACGTGGTCGGGCAGGCGACACTATACCTTTTCACGTCCGTTCGGGGAATCGAACAACGGACAATGACGTAACTACGCTGTGCTCATTTTGACCATACATAATAATTCATTAATGTTATATATTAGCTGTACAATAAAATGGCTTCCATTTTCTCTATTTCACAGAACAAATACATTTGTTTACGTCATAACGCCACCTTCAACATTAAACTGAATTTATGACATTTTCGGGGGCATGAAAAACATTATGGCAAGGATCCCCAAGGCTACGGATCGGAACGGAAAGTGCTGATATTGCATTAAAAACCTAAAACATATGTACTGTTGTCATTTGTCCAGTCACCACTAATCCTGTTGTCTCTTGTCCAGTCACCACTAATCCTGTTGTCTCTTGTCCAGTCACCACTAATCTTGTTGTCATTTGTCCAGTCACCACTAATCCTGTTGTCATTTGTCCAGTCACCACTAATCCTGTTGTCTGTTGTCCAGTCACCACTAATCCTGTTGTCATTTGTCCAGTCACCACTAATCCTGTTGTCTGTTGTCCAGTCACCACTAATCATGTTGTCTCTTGTCCAGTCACCACTAATTTTGTTGTCACTTGTCCAGTCACCACTAATCCCGTTGTCATTTGTCCAGCCATCTCTAATCTTGTTGTCATTTGTCCAGTCACCACTAATCCTGTTGTCATTTGTCCAGTCACCACTAATCCTGTTGTCATTTGTCCAGTCACCACTAATCCTGTTGTCATTTGTCCAGTCTCCACTAATCCTGTTGTCTCTTGTCCAGTCACCACTAATCCTGTTGTCTCTTGTCCATTGATCACTTACAAATAGTTCTTGAATTTTCCGCTTTCAGGCCAATATTCAGTCACTATTATCCTGTTGTCTCAATATCCAGTCACTAGTATCCTGTTGTCGCAATATCTAGTGACTAGTATCCTGTTGTCCCAATATCTAGTGACTCGTATCCTGTTGTCCCAATATTTAGTCAATATCATCCTGTTGTCCCAATATTTAGTCAATATTATCCTGTTGTCCCAATATTTTGTCAATATCATCCTGTTGTCCCAATATTTAGTCAATGTTATCCTGTTGTCCCAATATTTAGTCAATATTATCCTGTTGTCCCAATATTTAGTCAATATCATCCTGTTGTCCCAATATTTAGTCAATATTATCCTGTTGTCCCAATATTTAGTCAATATTATCCTGTTGTCCCAATATTTAGTCAATATTATCCTGTTGTCCCAATATTTAGTCAATATCATCCTGTTGTCCCAATATCTAGTCACTATCCTCCCGTTGTCCCAATGTCACTATCCTCCCGTTGTCCCAATATTTAGTCAATATCATCCTGTTGTCCCAATATTTAGTCAATATTATCCTGTTGTCCCAATATTTAGTCAATATCATCCGGTTGTCCCAATATCTAGTCAATATCATCCTGTTTTCCCAATATCTAGTCACTATCACCCTGTTGTCCCAATATCTAGTCACTATCCTCCCGTTGTCCCAATGTCACTATCCTCCCGTTGTCCCAATATCTAGTCAATATCATCCTGTTGTCCCAATATCTAGTCAATATCATCCTGTTTTCCCAATATCTAGTCACTATCACCCTGTTGTCCCAATATCTAGTCACTATCCTCCCGTTGTCCCAATGTCACTATCCTCCCGTTGTCCCAATATTTAGTCAATATCATCCTAGTATTCGTTATGGTTTTTTTTTATTCAGCCGTTTCATATTAACGTTAGAACTGTAGAGACAAGACTTGCTAACGCGTTCTGTCTTTTTCAGTACGGGTATTTATAAATCTATGTGTAACGATGATTAAATAATTCCTAACATTTTTGGTTTAACTTCAACAAAACTAGAAAAATAAATCATTCATAAATTTACAACACGGATAGTTTCTAAAAAAAATATCATTTACAGCACGGATAATTTCTACAAATTCATCATTTACAGCACGGATAATGTCTACAAATTCATCATTTACAACACGGATAATTTCTATATAAAAAAACATCATTTACAACACGGATAATTTCTAAAAAAAATTATATCATTTACATACCGGATAATGTCCAAAAAAACACCATTTACACCACGGATAATTTCTACAAATTCATCATTGACACCATGGATAATTTCTACAAATTCATCATTTACAACACGGATAATTTCTATAAAAAAACATCATTTACAACACGGATAATTTCTAAAAAAAATTATATCATTTACATACCGGATAATGTCCAAAAAAAAACACCATTTACACCACGGATAATTTCTACAAATTCATCATTTACACCATGGATAATTTCTAAAAACGATAATTTTTTCACGGAATGTTAGGAAAGCAGACTATCAGATATGTTCTAAAAACACTAAAGATAAGATAATTGTTACAGAAAATATTAAAAGAGCCAAAGTTTCAAAGAAATAACAGAAAACGACGAAGACAAAACAGGTCATAACAGGAGAGTACAAAAGGGGACCAAGTTTCGATGATAAAATAATGTCACAGCATTTTGTTTTTATTTGTCACGTTGTACTATGATATAAGACGACACGTTCCGATTACAAATCTCGTGATCACGTTGTACTATGATGTAAGACGACACGTTCCGATTACAAATCTCGTGATCACGTGATACTATGATATAAGACGACACGTTCCGATTACAAATCTCGTGATCACGTTGTACTATGATATAAGACGACACGTTCCGATTACAAATCTCGTGATCACGTTGTACTATGATATAAGACGACACGTTCCGATTACAAATCTCGTGATCACGTTGTACTATGATATAAGACGACACGTTCCGATTACAAATCTCGTGATCACGTTGTACTATGATATAAGACGACACGTTCCGATTACAAATCTCGTGATCACGTTGTACTATGATATAAGACGACACGTTACGATTACAAATCTCGTGATCACGTTGTACTATGATGTAAGACGACACGTTCCGATTACAAATCTCGTGATCACGTTGTACTATGATGTAAGACGACACGTTCCGATAACAAATCTCGTGATCACGTTGTACTATGATATAAGACGACACGTTCCGATTACAAATCTCGTGATCACGTTGTACTATG